TCCCTATAGGTTTCCTGTTTCATGCATTTCCATAGTCAGAATATCACCAGAGGCCTTCCACTTCTAAATGTACCATTACATACCTAATTTCAACTCACATAATCACACATTTGGTCTACCTAAATTGACACACTAACTTAAATTGGACCCATTTATTATTGTTTCATTGCAATAGTGTTGAAAATGGTGCTATGCATGATGCAATGCTGCCTGCACCACCAACTTAGTCTAATGTATACAACCAAAGCCATCCCTAAGGGTGTGTGGGGCCTGGGGCATATTAGCCTGTGCAGAGATTACTTCAGAGATTTCTGCACTTCACTGCTGTCCAAAGGGATCCTTATACATTCTTTATCCAGTGGAGGAAAGCTTACTCTTAATTACTTACAGGACCCTCACATAAAACATGCTTTTAAATCTGAATCCAGATTTAAGAACATGACAGAAGCACATTTTAAAAAGGGTTGACAGTTCATTTTAGACACAGAAATAAGCTAACCAAATTCTTGCCAATTTTGTCTTAGCAAAGCATTCAAGATTTTGCGCCAACATTTTTCACTGTTTCCTCTAATACAGCGTGATTTTACCTGCATTGTAGGGCCTGGCACAGAAGAACCTTGAAGCCAGAAAGTTGCGTGAAGAAAGGGAAGAGGAAGAAAAAAACCAGCTGGATTTGGAAGAAGCGCAGTTCCAAGCAGCAATGAGAAGAGAGGCCATTGAAGCAGCAAAAATATATCAGTATTATCAGACTGACAGAGTGAAAGGGTTACATGTCTGTAGACAGTTTGTCATCTTTACATTCAAATTGTATTCAATTTCTTTGGGGATAACCACATGTGCAATAAAGTAACCATACAAAATGTCCCCATTCTCTTTTGTAGCAAGCACTTCTACTTACTGAGGTTCTAAGGGAAAGGGAAGCTCAGATTGAATTTAAAAAGAAAAAAACAGGCATTAACAAAAAAAGAGAAGAAGAAATGGAACATGAGCGTGAGAAAGCAATCCTTAAAGAACAAAAAAAGGCACACGAATGCCATATGAAACGACAGGCACTTTGCAGAGACCAGCTGGAACAGTATGTAAAATAGGCCTGTTTCTGACCTGTAATGATTCTTATCTAAACTCACTCTCTTTTTCTATGCATACACTTGAATCATGCTGCTAAACTTAGTTCATTTACTACAAAAATGACACGAAAGAAAGTGAGCTGTTATCTCAGTAGAGATAAAAGACCTTTTATAGCAGCCAGTCTTATCTCCCCAGCACAGCACTGTTCTACTTATATTACCTGACCTACCATGTTTTCCAGTCCAGCTTCATTTGGAAAGGAGCTTCCAATATGTTCCTTGCGAGACAATTCTACAATGTAACATGTTACTTCTAGGAAATTTATACTGTATGCAGACTACAACAAAATTGGGCACTACACAGGAGATCACCGAGTGCATCTTCCATCTGTTTGCTTAAGTACATTTTGATGGAATACAATGCAGTTGTCACAACCAGCCCCAGTCCCACTGTCAGGATGGACAAGGGTGTTGAGAGTGGACCCTACTGCTGGATTCCACATACTTTTCAGCAGCTTAGGTTAGGGTAGTGTCTATTCAGTGGTACACAAGGCTCTCCTAATCAATGTCCATTGCAAAGTAGTGCATTTAGGTGCCTAGGTCCCCCTTGCCAGTCTAGTTTTCAGTGCTGATCTCTTGCCTTGGGCTGACCAATGCTCATCCCTTGCCTTGGGCTGAGCTTGGGACTTTAAGATGTATTGCTTCAGCTCCTGGACCCCATCACTCTACCTGCCTTCAATTCAAATAATCCAACATTGTTAAAACCTTTAGAAATATGTAAATGTTACTTACTACATATGTTTTCTTCCTTGTCCACTATTAATATTTCCTTTTATGTTGCAGAATAAAGGAACATAAACACCAGGCAGAATTAGCTAAGCTTGAGACAAAAAGAGAAGCTGAAGGAATTCAAAGACTTACCAGGTTATACGAGTTGGATGTTCTGAGAGAAAAGGAAAAGAAGGAGAAAGAAAAACTTGAACACAAGAGGGCTCATCTTGTAAGTAGCAGAAAAGTAGAAAGTCTAAATCTCTTCCACTTTGGATGCCTATGCAAATATGTTTCTTTTTAAGATATGACCAGATTTTCAAAGGTGTTCAGCTCCCACAAATTCCAGTGAAGTCTGGGGTAGTTTTGCCACAGTAACAACACCGTACTTTGCCATTTATGTTACTCTCTTCAGTACCTATTCTCTAGGTGGGGCTTCCCTTTTAACAACAGACCCACTAATTTTCACTGAAACAGCAACATGATAGTTGCTAAGACTGTGCATGGTCCTTGGTAAGAATTATGCTACACATAACAAGGAGAATATCTCCAATTTTAAAACTTCCATTAAACTGAGCTGTTCTAATTTCCTTTATCTTTATTAGGAAAGAAAAATGGCATTAGGTTGTCAGTATAACTAGATTATTTTATTTTATTCCCCTTCATAATGAAAGTCACTCACAAATAGGAACTGTATCTCTCACATGCTGGCTTGATGTCCAGCAGCCTCTTGTTCTGTCCTTCAGGGAGCTCAGATCTAGAAATTCACGTACAGGAAAATATTACTCATACTTTTGCAGCAATTCGATGTAGGTTAGCCATAATTTAAGGTAGTTTATCAAAGTGAGAACAATATTGTTCTTCTAGATCAGTGGTTCCCAACTTTTTTTGCTGCTATCCACTGGGAGCAGAGTGGGACAGTGGCAGCCCGAGGTCAGGGGAGCTCCCAGCACACAGCGTGGCTCATCTTCTGTGTGCGGCACTGCCGGCATTGCCCCAAGGTTGGGAACCACTGTTCTAGATCCTTGTCTTCCCCCTTGCGCAAGCCTAGGGAACTTACATATTATGGTGTAAAACCCTGCCCAGTTGTTTTTTCAGTTCCTTTTTTTCAAAGACTTAGGTGCCCATCTTTAGTAAATAACAGGACATTTTTGTTTAAAAAGGAGTACATTGCTGACCAGCATGTTCTTAAAGCTGTAAAGGAGCAAAAAGAAGAGGAGGAAAATGATAAAATTAGAGCTCACTTTAAAGCAAAACAAACTTTGGCCAAGTTGAGACGAGAAAAAGAAGCTGAAATGAACAGGTGGGTGCAATGTTAGATAAAGCACATATTCACAATTAAGTCTTTGTCATGCTATTTCCAGTATTTCCACACTAATATCCAAAGTGAAGCAAAAAAAATCTTATAGTAATAGGTAGCCTAGCCACAATGCTTCTGGATAGTAAAACTCTATTTTGAAAAAATAAAAGAGGAAAGTATCTGAGAGGAATTATTTTCTCACCTTTTACATCTTCTCTAATCAGAGATACTGGGAGTGTTGTCTGGGATCTTACTGTTCTTTTAAAATACCACATCAGCATGTTGAAGTCTTTTCATCTCACCTCATCTCCAAACTGTCCAAAGTGTGATGGAGAATGTTATGATGATGTGGCTATGATTTCCTTGAAGGAGAAAGACAGGGGAAGAAAAAGACCTGATTACTTAATCTGACATTTATATTAATCAATCAGGGTATAAATGAGATACTTGTAAGAAAGCCAGGCTTGTCTATGTAACATTGACATGTTACATTAATTGCTGTTGTGCTACAGGCTAATGCAGGAACGTCAGGATAATATTATTAACCGTCTGGCTGCACAGATGAAACAGACATTTCAGGAGGAAGATGAACGTGTTGCTAGAGCTGTTGCAGAGAAAGAAGCTGCGTGGGAAGAAGAACTCAAAGAAAAAGAGAAAAAACACACAGCCGAATTGAAATCAATTGCAGAGTACAGAGCTACCGTCGTAAGAATTCTCTCAAAGAAAAAGGAGTTTAATGGCACAGACGTTCTTCTTGGAAGGATTTTGGGAAAAAGCAGTATTTTTTTTTAGTATTTTTTAGTTTTCAGTATCTTTCCTTTTCAGTGAACCCCTCATTTTTCAACACTTTCAACTAATGTACATCATCATGTACCAATGTACATTATTTTTTAAGCAAGCTGTAGGTGATGGTGCTTTATAAACAGTCATGGGAAGGCTGCATTATCCTCGTCAATTGATGCAACCATTTTAAATTTCAGTATCCATTATTTCAAGCAGCTGGGGAGGTGGGCGATTTTTTTTTGTTGTAGTGTGCCCAACATACTCTTTCGGCACTTTTTAGAAGAAAAATATAGCTCTTCTGTAATGGAACCCTCCTGCTATCCTGCAGGGTCAAGAGCAAGTGGTAAATACACAGCACTTTCCCTAAATGAGAGAGGCCTTTCTTTGCCTGAAGAAGGCAAAGACCTTTAAAGACTGATGGGCTTCTATCATATTTAATGAGGCTGAGCAGGGTCTTTGAATAATCTGGCCTCTCTTGTTTCTGTAACTTCAATTTGGAGATTCCTTCATGCATACCTAAGTCTTGCATTCATTCTTGTTCCAGTCACTCTCCTGAACACACCACTATCGCTGCCACATAGAAAGTATAAGGTTTTAAGAGTTGTATCCAGGGAACCACTCTCTTTACAGCTCAGGGGTAGGAACCCAAAGCAGCAGTAACTTAATTAGGTATGGGTGAGTGGGGCATGAGCCCCAGGTGCTGATGTAAAGTGGAGATGTCAAGAATGGTGGCCCATGCTCCAGTTCCATCAGCCATAAGACTCCCTGGCACTTAGCCTCCACTCCTTGGGATCTCTGCTTTTGCCCTGGGCATCAAAATTTGTAGTTAAGCCTCTCCGAAGCAGAGTTTATTCTAGGCAAGGGCAGAGAATCTGTAAATTTGGATAGAGTCCACTAAAAGAGGCAGATTTTGACATGGGCATAACACATGGGCATGGCCTTTTATTGGGTGACTTTTTATCATCATCTTGTTAATCAGCTTAAGTGCTAAAGTTCTTGGGTATGTAACTTCTGGACAGTGGAAATCTCACAACAGAGTAATAAGGCTTGTGTGTGTCACCAGCCAAATATAATTTTCATACTCTTAGGGCAGATTTCTAGATTATTTCTCCTAGTCATTACTGTACAGCCAAATTCACCTTCTGCTTGGGACTTTATAACATTGTTGCTGGAACACCAATAGTTCTTTACATGGAAACATAATATTGGGAAAGTAATGTATTTTTTCTGTCTTGCAAAAGGATTCAGCATTTGGGGGTAAAGGGATTTTGCCAGCAGTAGTTAGTTTTCTGTGGACCACCAGTAAGTGCTTCATGGGCCATCTTGAAAACTGTTTTGTAAACGAGCGTTTTAAGAGAACAGTATGAGATGTTTCTGGGCAATTCTTTCTTACTCTTTGGCTGTAGACAGGTAGCCAAAGTCACATGGCTAATCAGTTACTAGCTTTGACATTAAAGGAAAATGAATGTAGGGGTGTCAAATTAGTTTTTGAAAGCCTCAGCTAATATATCACTGTTTCTTAACTCTATGATTCTTTGAGTAATTTTGTTTCTCTTTCCTGTAGAATGGTTTTCTAAAAATACATTTTCCAAATCTGTTGGCTGAGTTAACTTTTTTTCACAAAACAGATGAAAATGAAAAAAGAAAAAGAGCAAGAGGAGAGATTAGAAGCTAAGAAAAAGCTTCAGGAATTAACAGAAGCAGATCGCATCTATCTAGAAATGGAAAAAGAAAAGAAACAAAGACAACACAATGAAAACATAAAAACAAAAGAATTTCAAATCCAGCAAATGGTAAATAGAGGAATTATCTGATATTTTAGAAATTTCAATGCATGTTGATGGCACAATATTTTTGCATTAAACTTAAATGTTTATATTATCAAAGTTGAGTTCAAACCAAGAGAATATGAGATTATTTTTATCCCGAGCACACTAAGAATTGTTACTCTTAGAGTTCAAGTATAGGAACTTTCAGCAGACTTTATATTAAAGTGGGAACGCAGTTAGCTCAGAGGATTAGAAATAGGATCTGGATCCTTTCATCTCCAGGGATCCAAAATATGACACCAAATAATGACAACTACAAGGCTGGTTTATGTAAAAATAATTTGGTGTCTGCTGTTACCCAGATTACAGGTAACCTTGACCGTTGGCTGCTAATAAAAGATGCAAAAACAGGTCTTCAGCTTGACCTTTTATTTGCTTGTACTATAAAACACAAAAACCAAAAACTTATCCCAAATTTATTTAGCTACCCATGAAAGCACAATATAGATTTTTACCTATATCAGCTGGGAAGACGAGAGATGGGAGAAGGGTGGCATGCATATTGGCAGCAGGTTTCTTTGACTTTGCCATGTTCTCCAAATTTTCCTTCAGCCTATACCCCATATTTATAGGTGGCACATTCTAATAAATTATCTTTGATTGGTTTTATTTAAATGTCTTTGTTTTACTGACAGACAAGATTCTTTGGGTAAATGTGGTATCTTTTACTAGACCAACTAAATATTTGGAAAAATTGTTCTTTGCAAGCTTTCAGGTACAAACACACTTCTTCAGGCAGAGGGAGAGTGTTTTACTGAAACTTTTGGAACTGGACTGAACCAGATCTTTTGTGAGCCTGGAAGGTCTTAATTAGTTGGGATTTATATCCTTGGTGAAGTAAAAAGGAGGGTTTCATAGAATCAGAAAATTAGGGTTGGAAGGGACCTCAGGAGGTCATCTAGTCTAACCCCCCTGCTCAAAGTAGGACAACCTCCAACTAGATCATTCCAGTCAGGGCTTTGTCAAGCTGGGCTCTAAAAACCTCCAAGGATGGAGACTCCACCATCTCTCCAGGTAACCTGTTCCAGTGTTTCATCACCCTCTTAGTGAGAACGTTTTTCCTAATATCCTTGACATTAAAGGAAAATGAATGTAGGGGTGTCAAATTAGTTTTTGAAAGCCTCAGCTAATATATCACTGTTTCTTAACTCTATGATTCTTTGAGTAATTTTGTTTCTCTTTCCTGTAGAATGGTTTTCTAAAAATACATTTTCCAAATCTGTTGGCTGAGTTAACTTTTTTTCACAAAACAGATGAAAATGAAAAAAGAAAAAGAGCAAGAGGAGAGATTAGAAGCTAAGAAAAAGCTTCAGGAATTAACAGAAGCAGATCGCATCTATCTAGAAATGGAAAAAGAAAAGAAACAAAGACAACACAATGAAAACATAAAAACAAAAGAATTTCAAATCCAGCAAATGGTAAATAGAGGAATTATCTGATATTTTAGAAATTTCAATGCATGTTGATGGCACAATATTTTTGCATTAAACTTAAATGTTTATATTATCAAAGTTGAGTTCAAACCAAGAGAATATGAGATTATTTTTATCCCGAGCACACTAAGAATTGTTACTCTTAGAGTTCAAGTATAGGAACTTTCAGCAGACTTTATATTAAAGTGGGAACGCAGTTAGCTCAGAGGATTAGAAATAGGATCTGGATCCTTTCATCTCCAGGGATCCAAAATATGACACCAAATAATGACAACTACAAGGCTGGTTTATGTAAAAATAATTTGGTGTCTGCTGTTACCCAGATTACAGGTAACCTTGACCGTTGGCTGCTAATAAAAGATGCAAAAACAGGTCTTCAGCTTGACCTTTTATTTGCTTGTACTATAAAACACAAAAACCAAAAACTTATCCCAAATTTATTTAGCTACCCATGAAAGCACAATATAGATTTTTACCTATATCAGCTGGGAAGACGAGAGATGGGAGAAGGGTGGCATGCATATTGGCAGCAGGTTTCTTTGACTTTGCCATGTTCTCCAAATTTTCCTTCAGCCTATACCCCATATTTATAGGTGGCACATTCTAATAAATTATCTTTGATTGGTTTTATTTAAATGTCTTTGTTTTACTGACAGACAAGATTCTTTGGGTAAATGTGGTATCTTTTACTAGACCAACTAAATATTTGGAAAAATTGTTCTTTGCAAGCTTTCAGGTACAAACACACTTCTTCAGGCAGAGGGAGAGTGTTTTACTGAAACTTTTGGAACTGGACTGAACCAGATCTTTTGTGAGCCTGGAAGGTCTTAATTAGTTGGGATTTATATCCTTGGTGAAGTAAAAAGGAGGGTTTCATAGAATCAGAAAATTAGGGTTGGAAGGGACCTCAGGAGGTCATCTAGTCTAACCCCCCTGCTCAAAGTAGGACAACCTCCAACTAGATCATTCCAGTCAGGGCTTTGTCAAGCTGGGCTCTAAAAACCTCCAAGGATGGAGACTCCACCATCTCTCCAGGTAACCTGTTCCAGTGTTTCATCACCCTCTTAGTGAGAACGTTTTTCCTAATATCCAACCTAAACCTCCTTTGCTGCAGCTTGAGGCCACTGTCCCTTGTTCTGTCATCTGCCACTATGAAGAACAGTCTAGCCATATCCTTTATAACCATCCTTCAGGTGGTTGAAGGCTGTTGTTAAATCCCCCTTCATTTATGGCAGAAATTCCATAAACCAATTTTAACCTGAATCAGTTAAGTCTGATACTTCATCCAGGTTTATCTTAAACCAGTTTCGGCCATTTTGAAAGTGGTTTATATGCAATGAACTTATGTTGTGTTACAGATTTGAACTGGCTTCCAATCACTTATACTGGTAAATGTGTAATTTCTGTCCCTAGCCTCAGCAACAGGCTTTAGGGCCTTTTGCGTATCCATATTTTTTACAGGTTGATCTAGGCCCCTTGAAAATGGCCAAGGCTGGCAACACTGCTGAGAATTACACACCCAGGACAATACTAGCCACATTCATAAAGCCCCATGGCTTTTGATGAGCCTGCTGTAATAAAGACCCCTGTACACACCTGTGACCCATATCCTCCAGCTTTCTGTATTTGTTTTGTGGACAAATAAAGAACGTCAGTTAAGCAACTCTAACCAGTTTCTGCTATGAATAATAATGTTTATAGTAAAGAGATATTTAGACCAAATTATTTTTAAAAGTCAGTGTTACCTCAGGACTTCCATAACTTTAGACTTATTCTGTTACAGCTTCATTGCATGTAAATATTTGGGCTTCTGTTATTTCCTTTCCTTTAACAGGCTGAAAGACGGGCAAAAAGAGAGCAGGAAAAGCAAAAAGAACTGGATTATGATGCTCAGAGAGAAATTATTGCAATTTACAAGGAGCAGGAATTTCAAGAATATGCAAAGCAAGTAATTGAATCAGAATCCAAAATAGCACGAAATCTTTATCCTCTTCTCAAAGCAGCCAAGGAAAGAACTGCCAGGGGCCATGGACCAATTTACAGAGAAAGAGGAAGAATAAGACCTAGTTATCAAACAAAGGATGTCAGTGGAACTCAGCTACCTTCTTGCAGCTCTAACACCGCTCAAGAAATTAAAGCACTACCTGACAATGATCCTATACAAACAACTAAAGCAAGACCAGGTTTTACATAGAAAAATACCCTTTTGAACCTTAAAAACTTCAATAAATCTTCAAGAGATTTACACTGTAAAAATGATATTAAAGAACTACAGGCTTGCAGTGGGAATGGACATATGAACAAAGTACAGGAAATTGAAAGGTACAGAAACTTACCGTACATCTGTAATAAACTTTTTGTATGCATACATTTACTCCACAATAAGTGAAAGTTAACCACAGTAGTTGATTAATACAAACAGAGCTAAACTACTGCAGCTTAACTTTCACTTGTTATGGATAAAAATGTACAGTACTGCAGAGTAGCTGATGTGATGTAAATCCATGCACCCTTTTTTATCTAACTTGTTTGTTTGCCCATACTCCATGGAAAAGTAATTACTGAACTAAGTATAAGGTCATAAACAAAACAATTTGTATTTTACAAATGTATTTTAAACCAGATATACAAACATAATGATGAATAACTACTGTAAAACTTTATTCATATATAAAATACGTATTTTTAAAAAAATAGAATATTTGGGTCTCAGTTTTCAGTTTCAAAACCAGTCTTTTATACCTCCCCTGTAATTTGTTTTTAACTGCTGCATTTGACTTGTATTCTTAATCAGCAGCTCTTATAAACTTACCATCAAAAGATGCCAAATACATGTTAAACAAATACAAAATGAAAGAACAAAATATAAAATAATTTAATATTTTTTAAAATGGATTGAAACAAAGTTCATATTCCACATATTCTTTCAGATTCTCCATTTTACTAAATTTTAAATCAGCCAAAATGTTAGTTCATTATCAGAATAGAATTTTCCTTACCATTATCTTAGATTCATAGATTTTATTCTTGCACTATATTAAGAAAAAACTTCACTACATTCAGAAAAGTCTGTTAAACCTTAGCAATTACTATTTGAAGACAGTGACATTTTCCAGATCGAGCCTAATGATGGAATCTTAAACTTAAGAGTGTTACTTACTGTTGAGTTTGATAACAAGATAATAGACCAAGTCAACAAGTTCTTTCCTGATCCAGAAAAGGCAGAATAATTTCTGTACAATCACAGATGGTAAGAAATTCAACAGTTATTAACATTTATCACATTGCCTGATACATACTAGATACTGTTACTTCTGGCTAAGACTGACATTCACATCTGCTTGATTTAAGTCTATGTATACACAATCTACCTTTGCATAAGAAGGAATAACCAGGAAGCCAATGGCATAAGGATGTTAGAGTGGTTGGTCAATCATTGGTCATTCAATTATTTGCTATCTAAAGCAAAATAAAAAGTGTTCTGCTAAGACGAGTCACTGGAAGCCCATGATCAGTTCTTCTAGACAGGAGTTAGTTTCAATTTCCAGGGCTTGCTATTCAATAGATTTTTTAAAAATAAAGTGTTGGTCTTTCTGGCAGGGTGGATGAGTGGTGGCGGGGATAGGTGACAAGGGGCAGGAGTCCGGACACTGGAATACTCTGCTGCCTTCCCCCATAAAACAGCCCTCCAAAAATTAGATTTTAGACATGGAACATATAACAAATTTATAAATTTTCCGCGTCTAGAATCTGATTATTTGCAAGGGTGTTTTAAATTCAGAGTTCTCTTGGATTTGGGTAAAACAAAGTTGCCCAGATCAGACGCCTCTTGACACCTATGAAACTGGACAGTTTTGGTTACTATCATCTTATGCACATTCTAAAATGTTCCCTTCTGTCAGCATACCCAGCTTTGCAAGCAAATCTCTGTCTATAAATCTACAATAAAGAAGCAAATAAGCAACACTGTTGACATTTTTCCAAAAGTGCTGTTTAAGGAGGTGATGGAGAAGCTGTATAATTCTTGTAGAGTTTTGGCCTTCGTCTCAGGACCCACTGCAGAGGAGGGTCTTCTCATTAAATTGATGCCTGAAGATGCATAGCATATGGCAGAGCCCAGAATCCTGAAACTGGCAACAGATCCCATGGACTTACCCAGAAGATGGAGTTGGAGCCTGGTTTTCATGCTTCTTCCAGGACTAGTAGGTAAACAACTTGTATATTTCCTGGTAATAATATACAAGTCTTCTTGGCAATAGATATATTTTCCCAATAGACAAAAATAGTCACAGGGTGGATAGTTTAAATCCTCAGGGATCTAGGAAAAGCCATGCAACAAACAGATGGACCTGAAGCAGCATCTATGGGTGCCTGTAGATGTGCAGGATGCCTACTCCAATGTGCTGTAATTGCAGTGCATCAGAGCAGACTCAATTAATAGAGCCTGCTGAAGTGTGCTAATTAATGTGCTCCAGCAGCCTTGGTATCTTGTGTATTCAGTGTCCCTGTGCTTCAAAATGGTGGTGGGGATGCTTCTTTAACTAAAGCTCGTCAAACGAGCTTTAGTTAAAGTGACCCAGATGCCATTTTGAAGCATGGGATGCTGAATACTCAAGACACTGCAGGTGCTTTAATTCAAGCAGCTCCTGAGAGCTGCTCTAATTAAAGCCCCCCCACTTCACCAGAGCATATGTAAAGATGCCCTAGGATTTTCTTTCCTCTCAGACCCAGGAATGGGGGGAGAAGGGAAGATGACTATAAGGGGGTTCTAGGCCAGACGAGCAACACCCCCAAAAGGAAAAGTTTGTCTCTAGTTAAGGGTAAATGTACCTTTTAGCCACTTTAAAACATGAGCTGCTGCTCACAACTGTGCAACAACTGCTCAGTTCTAACTGTTGTACTGCTAGAGGATCATTCAGACATAAGTTAGCTACACTGTCCTAACATTGAATGAAACAGGGTTAAAGTAATCATAACAGATTAGATGGCTATCCTTTGATATCAATACAGCTGCTATTTTTGTGTTGATTTCTCTTAGTCTCATTATTTTTAAAAGGAAAAAGAAATAGGTAGAAGAAAAAGATCAAGGTCATAATAGCAATAGTTTTATTAAAATAGAGTCATCAAGTGGTCTGTAGGTCACAAGAACTATGATCCAAACAGCACAGTGCTCCAGAGCTTAGGTGGGCAAGAAGTGCACACTGGCTTCTGCACTCATGCAGGATTAGGAAACACTAATTGGCTCCTGTTAAGGAAAAAACACATGCCTAGGGCATACAGGCACATGACTGTCTGTGCACAAGAAGCTTCTCTGAACAGCCCAAGGCAACCATAGAACAAGCTCCCAGGAACAACATTTTACTCAAGGTCACTTCTGCTCGGTTTTAAAACAGCTTGCAAAATAAGTCAACAGCAGCTAGCAGATTAAGGGGAAGGTTGGAATACCTGGTAAAACAGTGCAATTGTATTTGCTCTGCTGATAAAAATCAAATGTTAAAACAAATGCAGGGTAAACTGAAAGAATATATATTATTTGTAACTAGCACTGTTACCATATTTAATGCTTAATTGTGAAATTTCTGTCAAAACCTTTTACCATTGGCTTTTTGAAGGCATGCTTAATTATGCCTTATGTATCAATGAGAACAAGCCACTTAAAACAAGCTGTTTAAAAATATATATATAATCTAAGCAACATTAATCCATGGTTACTAGTAATAGTTGTTTCCATTCTTTAATTGGAAAACATTAACATTATGACTACAAGTTAGTAGCTTTATTAGCAAAAGCAGGTATTGGGACTTTCTCCTTGTGACCCTTATATGGTAGAGAAACATACACAAACAGAAAAGTTCAGGGGCGGACAAACTCTCCTGAAGATATTCAGCTCTCCTGCAGTTCCTGTTTCTGTGTTACAGTGTTGTAGTAATACAGCATTTAAATTTACATATTTCTATTTTTTTTGTTTTTTTCTGGGAGAAGTTAATAAGGACACTGGTATTTTTTAGCATAAATAACTACAATTTATGACAGTGCAGAACAAGAACAAAGAGCAATAAAGTTAGTGATAGGCAGAACTGCTCTCTAGCTGGAACTTTTTAAAACAGCCTATGTTGAAAGGTTTGTCCTTTGTGGGATGTGGAAATCTGCAACGCCCACCTCGTTTATTCAAGAAACTGTGGAAAACAATTTCAATGCTACTGTTAACATCTTAAAAACATACACAACCCAAACCACTCTGCCCATGCAAGTTCTTAAATTTACTCTATGGCATCATTTTTAAAACTGATACACTCTTTAAAACTGTATGTTTTAGGTGTAACTTATAAAAAATGTTTACACACAGAAGTTTATTAACCAAATTATCTCTAAAGTAGAAGAGCTTGGTGTCTTATTTCTTACTTCTCTTTGATTACCAGTCTATAATTCCCTGTCATTTTCTTCCCTGATGAACAAAAGGACGCTATCCGGGATTTTGACACTGCCAAAGAAATGAGACACTAAGCATAATTTTTGTCTGCTCCCCAGGAGCAGCATTTCTTCTTTATGGGTTTTATGATAGACTCACTCTTGTTCACTTGTCTGTGTAGCAAGATATATAAACTATAACCACTTCTACAAACTGGCAGTGTAGTGCTGGAAAAGAAAAAAAGGTCATGACTTCTGCAAAGAAGACTTTTTTTCATTAGAAAAACAGAGATCTTGATTTAACAGATTCTATTTACATTCAAGTACCTACAACTTTAAAACTCAGCACAAATTTGTTACTGACACTTAAAGAGGCTCACAGCAAACACTGAAATAATTATCTTGGCATGTTTACACAGCACTTGCCTCATAAATCAAGCAAATGTGAACAATGTTCTAACCCCCTTAGATCACACAGAGAACATGCTAACATATTTCAGAAATGTAGGAAGTATGTGGGACAAAATACAGAATGCAGTAACAAAATATGAAAAAGCATTTAATATTTCTGAAAATATTTTAATACACAAGTTGCACATTCTATATTAAGCACTCACATTTTGTCCTCCCAGTCAATAACTACAGATTACAAAATGCCCAAGACGTTGTAAGCTCTGATGACTCTTATTAAAATTTAGTCCATCAAACACATACAGCACTATTTTATGATCAAGTACAATGCTCTTAGCCACCACAGCAAACCAATTACTAGCTAGCTCCTGTTACCACTGATCACAAAATTAACTAGGCCCAACTTTTGTTCAATCTTTCGAGTAAGTCATTCACAGTACAAAAAAGTACATGTAAAAGTTAACGGTTACAGCTAAATTAACACATTATATATACTTATCTCATATACAATTTTACAGAGATATACATCAAAGGTTAAACGCTTGCTGAAAAGTCATTGCAAGTTTTCCTATAAACATGCTCTGCATGTTGGAAAATGTTGACCAAAAAGAGACAACTATTGCATTACATTAGTGCAAGTTCTAGTTTACTATGTTCAGTATGTTAACATTAGAACACTGATGGATACAAACGTTAAATACTTAACAGGGTATAGGCATGCACATTTGGCATTCCAAGGGACTGATCCTGTAAACCTTGCTCATATGAACAGCCCCACTAGTTTCAATGGGATTCTCAACTGAGCAACTGATAAATTGGGGATATTTCAGGCTGATTCTTTAAAACAAGTCACAGAATGCTGTTTTTATTTTCTCTTTAAGTTGATGTAAATAATGTCCAAACCTACTATTTAGTTATATTTTGTTACTGTGACATCTTTCCTGAAA